TGCAGCACTGTTCACAATAGCAAAAAGATGGAAACAACCTAGGTGCCCATCAACAGACGAATGGATAAACAAATTATGGTATATCCACACAATGGAATACTACGCAGTGATAAATAACAACGATGAAGCCGTGAAACATCTTATAACATGGAGGAAGCTGGAGGTCATTATGCTGAGTGAATTTAGTAGTCACAGAAGGACAAATATTGTATAAGACCACTATTATGAGAACTCAAGAAAAGGTTTAAACACAGAAGAAAACATTCTTTGATGGCTATGAGGGTGGGCAGGGAGGGTGAGGGTTATTTACTAACTAGATAGTAGATAACAATTATCTTAGGTGAAGGGAAGGACAGCACACACTACAGAGGAAGTCAGTACAACTGGACTAAACCAAACCTAAGTAGTTTCCTGAATACAATCAAACACTTTGAGGGACAGAGAAGCAGGGGTAGGGGTCTGGGGACCATGCTTTCAGGGGATATCTAGGTCAATCGGCATAACAAAGCTTATTAAGAAAATGTTCTGCATCCTCCTTTGGTGAGTGGTGTCTGGGGTATTAAAAGCTTACAAGCGGCCATCTAAGATGCATCAATTGTTCCCAACCACCTGGAGTAAAGGAGAATGAAGAACACCGAAGACACAAAGAAAGTATTAGCCCAAGAGACAGAAAGGGCCGCATAAACTAGAGACTTCATCAGCCTGAGACCAGAACAACTAGATGGTACCTGGCTACCGCCAATGACTGCCCTGAGAGGGAACACAACAGAGAGTCCCAGATGGAGCAGGAGAAAGGTGGGGTGCAGAACTCAAATTCTAGTTAGATGACCAGACTTAATGGTCTGATTGAGACTCGAGGAACCCCGGAAAGCACGGCCCTTGGATTCTCTACCAGCCCAGAACTAAAAAAATTTCCAAGGCCAACTCTTCATACAGGGATTGGACTGGACTGTGGGACATAAAGTGATACTCGTAAGGAGTGTGCCTCTTAGCTCAAGTAGATACAAGAGAGTAAACAGGCAGCTTCTGTCAGGAGGTGAGACAGGAAGGCAGAGAGGGTTAGGAGCTGGTTGAATGGAAATGGGGAACCGGGGGCAGAAAGGAAGAGTTTGCTATCACAGTATGGAGAGAGCAATTAGAGTCACATAACAATGTACGTATAAATTTTTGTACGGGAAAAAATAAAAAATATATAGATAGGGTGACAAGATGTCCCAATTTTCCTGGTAAAACTAGTCCAGTTTATGCCTGTTGTCCCAGAGTAATTATTATAATAAACTCTTTTTCACTCTCAAAAATATCCAAGCTTATTGCTGGGTGGAGGGCTGTGGGGACCATGGTGTCGGGGAACATCTAGCTCAACTGGCATAACACAGTTTATAAAGACAATGTTCTACATTCTACCTTGGTGAGTAGCGTCTGGGGTCGTAAAAGCCTGTGAGAAGCCATCTAAGATACTCCACTGGTCTGACCCCTTTGGGAGCAAGGGAGAATGAAGATAACAGGATACAAGGAAAAGAGTAGTCCAAAGGACCACGGCTACCAAGGCCTCGACCAGATTGAGTCCAGTACAGCTAGATGGTGCCCGGCTACCACCACTGAGTGCTCTGACCAAGATCACAAGAGAGGATCCCGGGCAGAGCTGGAGAAGGATGTAGAACAAAATTCTAACTCACAAAAAAAAGACCGATTTACTGGCTTGACAGAGTCTGGAGAAACCCCGAAAGTATGGCCCCTGGACACACTTTTAGCTCAGTGGTGAAGTCACTCCTGAGGTTCACTATTCAGCCAGGGATTGGACAGCCCCATAGAACAAAACGGGACTAATGAGGCACAGCAGTCCAGGGACGAGGACTAGAAGGCAGGAAGGGACAGGAAAGCTGGTGATAGGGAACCCAAAGTTGAGTAAGGACAGTGTTGACATGTCATGGGTTTGTTAACCATTGTCATAGGGCAACATGTGTACTAACTGTTTAATGAGAAATGATTTTGTTCTGTAAACCTTCATCTAAAGTACAAAAAAAGAAAAGAATTATGAATGTGAGATCAAATTGACAACAGCAACTCAAAGGTCTGATGGGAAACCTAGGGGACAGTGAGTTGAAGACAATAGTGATGGAATAATTTGGAAAAGGATAGTGAGAATAGCAGCACAACTGGAAGAACGTAATCGATGTCACTGAATTGTACATGTAGAAATTTTTGAAATGGTGTATCTTTGGCTATGTATATTTTCACCAAAAAAAAAAGAAAAAAGGTCCTCCAAGGTCAAGAAGGGAGAGTGTTGACATGTCGTGGGGTTGTTAAACAATGTCATAAAACAATATGTGCACTGACTGTTTAATGAGAAACTATTTGTCCCGTAAACCTTCACCTAAAGTACAATTAAAAAAAAAAGAAAAAGATTACAGCCTTGGAAACCCTATGGGGCAGTTCTACTCTGTCCTATGGGGTCACTGTGAGTCAGAATTGACTCAACAGCAAATCATGTTTGGTTTCATGATAATGAACTACTGACCTAACAGTTTTGCTGAGTTCTTAGTCCTTCTAGTGAATCACTCAACCTGAGGGTGGTCTTAAGGGCACCCGAATGACAGTCTACTCTCACTGCTATCTCTGTAAAACCAAAAAAACCCAAACCTGTTGCTGTTGAGTAGATTCCGACTCATAGTAACCCTACAGGACAGAGTAGAAGTGCCCCATAGGATTTCCCAGAAGCAGCTGGTGGATTTGAACTGCTGACCTTTTGCCGAACTCTTAACCATTGTGCCACTAGGGCTCCAGAATCTCTATAAAATATACCTTTAATTGAGCACATACTTAGTCACTGCACTAAGTGGAAGCCTTTGACCGAGGGTAAGAGGCAGGCAATGGTAAGAGGGCCAGTCCATGTTCCAAGAGCCCCACCCTTATAAGGACTGTATATTCTCTTCTATACCCTCTGAGACCAGCCCTAGGATTGCACCCATGTCTCAGACCAGAACACTAAGGCTCTGACAGGTTAGGTGGCTTACCCAGGGGGCTAGACCCATGCAGGCCATCCTCTGTGTAATCCCCTCACCCTCCCCACCCCTGTCCCCAGCTCACGTGACAACAGGGTCATGGCAGGGCTGTAGAGAGAGGCAGCAGCAGTCAAAGTCCTTCACGGCGTCCCGGCTCAGTCGAATGTTCTGGGTCCCATAACCTGAGGCCGCTGGGGACAGAGACAGGCAGTGGGATGGAGGGACAGACATGCCCCTGTCCCCAGTCCGAGAGAGAGAGAGAGGCACAGAGAGAACTCGGGGTGAGAGGAGGGCCTGCAGAGAAACAGGCAGCCCATAGCTTGGTCTGTGTGTCTGTCTCCGTGTGTGCACATCAGGGGACAGGACCCCACGAGGAAGGTGCTAATCCCCAGAGGGCAGGTGACAGACAGACCCTGTCACTGAGCCACAGCTTGGAGAAGGGGCTCACATCCGAATCTGGCTCAGCCGTTCTGGCTCTGTGCCCTTGTTCAAGACTCCTCTGTGCCTCAGTTTCCCCCTCTGTAACACTGCAATAACAATGATGCCTCCCTCAACAGGGTGTTGTGAGCACTTAACCGGCCTGGTGTCCAAAGGTGCAGAGAGCGAGGGTGCCTTTGAGACACATTCGCCCTCCCTGTCCCCAGGGGTTCCCCGGAGGCCCCCGCTCAGTACCCGTGTCCTTCTTCTTCTCGTGGTAGGTGTAGACGGCGCCCGCCGTGCAGTTCTTGCCATGTCGTGTCATTCTGGGGAAAAAGGGACAGATGTCAGGCTGGGGTGGTGGAAGGAGCTGTGAACAGGCAGGACTTGACTTCTATGGCCTGCAGAACTGATCTGCCCCCAGGGGTAGGGGTATGGGGGTGGGAAGGAACCAGTAACTCAGGTTACTGCCTCCTCTAGAAAGTCCTCCTTCAAAACTAGCCCAAACTCATTTACGTACTGAACTGCAACCTTGAAGAACAATACAAAAAAAAAAAATCCCAAACTCACTGCCGTTGAGTTGATTCCGACACCTAGCAACCCTACAGGACAGAGCAGAACTGCCTCATAGGGTTTCCAAGGCTGTAATCTTTAAGGAAGCAGACTGCCACATCTTTCTCCTGTGGAGCTGCTGGGTGGGTTCGAACAGCCAGCCTTTCAGTTAGCAGCCGAGCACATAGGGTGTGCTGAGTAAATATTCTCTCCAGCTAGGGGGAGGGTGAGGTATGGGGCAGAGGGACACAACTGAGGGCCACATATATGTTAAAAGCAACTTCATCTTTTTCCCCCTGCTTGTTCTAAAAAACTTGCCTTTGATATTCAAAACTTGAAACATAGCTCTCTTTGAGAAACAGATCTCTCTCTCCCCCTACTGGTGCCTTCTGCTCAAAAGCCATTTTTGTTTTTTCAGCATATTTACATATACCAAGTGCACATATACTAAGGGCACAGACTTTAAGGGTACAGTCTGATGAGTTTTAACAAATGTATATTGTTCTTAGACGCTGTCAAGTCGATTCCAACTCACAGTGACGCCATGTGATAGAGCAGAACTTCCCCATAGGGTTTTCTACGCTGTAACCTTTGCAATAGCCGATCACCAGGTCTTTCTCCCGTGGAGCCACTGGGTGGGTTTGAAACTCCAACCTTGTAGTTAGCAGTCAAGTGCTTAACCCTTGTGCCACTAGGGATCCTTTGTGCCACTGAGTCAGTTCCAACTCATAGTGACACCATATGACAGAGCAGAACTGCCCCATAGGGTTTTCTTGGCTGTAATCTTTATGGGAACACATCACCAGGTCTTTCTCTCGCAGAGCCACTGGGTGGGTTTCCAAAGGCCAACCAAAAGGTTGCCAGCTGAGCTCTTAACGGTTGCGCCGCCAGGGCTCCTCCAAAAAATGTATACATCCTTGTAACCACCACTCCAATCAAGATACACATTTTCATCCTTCCAGAAAGTTCCCGTGGACCTCTTCCCAGTCAAGGCGCCCCAGAAGCAACCAGCGTGGTGTTTGCAGAAGCTGATCTTGATGAAGCACCCTAACTTGACCCTCTACCCCTCCTCCACCTACCTCTCAGTACAAGGGTCTGCACCTGCTGCTTCCACTCGTTCACACCACACACACCCCTCCCCCGCCCCCGGGCTTCCACCCAGCCCTCCCAAATGCTACTCATGAAGGTCACAGCCTCACTGCCAAATTCCCAACTCTATTCTTAGTTGTCAACTGCCTTGACCCTCGGCAGTATTTGGCACTGGGTTCCCCTGTTTTTCTAGAGCTCAGTGCTAGTCTTGTGGCCAGGGATGGGGGTTTCTAGGCTCTTTGGTTTCACAGGCAGGGACTATTTCCTCTCCCAGTGTGGGAGCAGCAGCTATAAGGGGGCATTTCTTACCTGGCCAGGACATGATAATGGGCATAATCACAAAGAACACTGCTAGATCACAATAGCCCAAAGTGGGGAAACAACCCAAGTGTCCATCAACGGATGAATGGATTAAGGTCCTTGGGTGGCACAAAAGGTTTGCGCTTGGCTGGGAACCAAAAGATTGGTGGTTCAAATCTATATAGGATCAAATTGACAACAGGAACTCCAAAGATTAGATAGGAAGCTTAGGGGGCAATGAGTTGATGTTATTAAAGAAGGAGGAACAACTCAGAAAAGGGTGAGAATGGTTGCACAAGGCAGACTGTAATCAGTGTCACTGAATCATACATATAGAAACTGTTGAATTAGTGTATGTTTTACTGTGTATATTCTCAACAACCAACTAAATAAAATTTAGAAAAAAAAGAAAACGTCCCTGTTTTTTACACATGCATCCTGAAGTATTTAAATACATGTGTAAAGTATTTAAATACTTTACACATGTATTTACTGGATCTGCTTTAATATAAAACCCAACTGCCACTGAGTAGATTCCGACTCATAGTGACCCTATAGGACAAAGTAGAACTGCCCCATAGGGTTTCCAAGGCTGTAATCTTTACAGAAACAGACTGCCACATCTTTCTGCTGCGGAGTGGCTGGTGGGTTTGAACTGCCGACGTTTTGGTCAGCAGCTAAGCGCGTAACCACTGTAACCACCAGGGCTCCTCTGCTTTACTAAAGTCTAAAAAGTACCTTCAGCAAATAAAACAAAGTATCGATAATTTGTAAATCTAGGTGATAGGGAAGGAGCCCTGGTGGTGCAAACGGTTAAGTGCTCGCCTGCTAACCAAAAGGCTGGCAGTTTGAACCCACCAGCCGCTCCGCGGGAGAAAGACCTGGCGATTTACTCCCCCCGTAACGATTACAGCTCAGAAAACCCTATAAGGGCAGTTCTATTCTGTCACATGGGATGTTCGAACATTTTCATAATAAAACGTTAAAAAAAAGAAAACAGCTTAGAGAATCCCTGAAAACCGAAGTTCACAACCAATCACAGCACGATCAGGATGTGAACTCAGGACTGCTTGACCCCAAAGCTCCACAAAGGAAATCGTTAAACCCTCCAGCAAACAACCGCGAGAGGGACAGGACTGTCAAGTAAACCTGGAGAGAAGGCGGCGGCGGGCTACTACACAAACCCGGCCGCCTCCCGTACCGCCCGCTCTCCCGATCGTAGTCTGAAAAACTGAGACCAAGAAAAGAGTCCTTCCTCAATGCCCAATGCTTGGAGCACTGGGAGTCCCGCTGCCCTCTTCCCCTGGCACCCCCGGCATCACTATTTTCCGCAGGACTACAATTCCCATGACATGTTGCGACTAAGAACTGCCCGATGCAGTTTGGCTACCTTCAGGGGATGCTGGGAGGTGTAGTTCTGTTTCAAACTCGGGCCGCCGGGAGAGCTCTATTAATGATCGTTTTCGGTAATCCGAGATCTGCCCTGTCTCCCTCAGGACCCAGGGATTCTAGTCGAGAAAAGACCATCCCAGCAACAGTATCCCTCCAGCATCTGGAACTCACCTCACAACCGACTACCGGTTCCTCCGTCGCTTCTTCGACTGTGCGCGTACGCCGGAAAGGAGCCCTATTTCCCCCGCTCCGCTCCGCCTACTTCCGCCCGTGGTAAGCTACCGGAAGTAAAATTGCCCCTAGTTGCGGTGGTGCTGCTTCTGGCTCGGTAAGTCCTCTCTTCTTGTCTTCCTCCCTCCGGAAACGTGAGGGGCAACTCAAAGGTTCCGGTTCATGAAACTCGCGTGTATTTGGGACACGTTTAGTACTGCGCATTTTGCTGGGTGGGCGATTTCCTGTTTGATCCGAAGCCGGAGTTTAAGGATTTATCGGTTTCCCCAGAGATTGGGAAGTCCACTTTCCCAAGTATATCATCCACTTTTTTTTGCTGCTGCATCTTAAGGGGCAAGTGAGAAAGAAGGATGCCTCTGTTCCCATTTTATAGACTGAGCAATTGAGAAACGCAGAAGTCAAAGCCGTTCAAATCACACTTAGAAAACAGGAATTTAGTACGGCACCACCCAGCTATCCCCGGTGACCAAGGCATCCAGTTCCTGCCAGTTTCTAGATATCTAAAATAATAATAATAATAGTAATAATAATGAAAATACCTAGATATTTATTTCCTCAGCTTGGCCAGGCTATTGGGCGGTGGGAGACCAGGAGTGGGGGAGTATCTAATCCTCTAGGTGCCCCGAGGTGTCAGAGATACTGGTTTCCTTATGGTGCTCTGGACATTAGGCTTTTCGTCCTAAGGTCCCTTTAAGTACTTTGTCCCTTACCTGAGTACCGCCCAGGGCAGGTAATCGCAAGCCCCGCCCCTCGGCCAGAAGCCGGACCGGGTCAGGTTATTGGGAGCAGGGAGAGGCCCCTCCTCCTTCTCCCTTTCCCTCTCTCTGGCCCCCCTTCTCAGCTGGCCGCAGCTGGCCAAGGAGGCCCCCGATTAAAGACGAGGGGACAGTGTTCACAGGTCTGGGCAGGTAAGTGAGTATCCCTGGAGGCAGAGCCTGGTTTGGGGACCCTGGCATCCTGATTCTCCGCCCCTGTCGGACCTAGAAGTTCCAACCTCAGGCGCACGAGTCCAGTGTATCTGCCTCCTTCATTCCCCTCGACCCAAGAATATTGTTTCCTGTTTTTGTCTCTCCTGTAGTCTGTGACCTCTGTGGGTGGATGTGTCAGTGATCACAGAGAGGGGTGGACCCTAAGTGGAAATTGCCAGGCAGAAAGGACTGCTGATCACCAGTTGACATGTTTAGGTTGACCCTTGATGGGTACTGGGGCCACGGTGAAGAAATAAACCATCTCTGGAGGCACGCCGCCCTCGCTCAAATCCTGGTTTTGGTATTTGCAAACTTCGTGAACTTGGACAGGTTATTTTACCTCCCTGTGCCTCAGTTTTCTCATCTACAAAATGGGCATAATAGTAGGACTCTTGTGCAAATTAAAATACGTTGATCTAGGTAAACTGCTTAGAACAGTACCTGGCACAGAGTACAGCCTTGGAATCATCTGCTATTTCTAGTACAATTCATGGACCACAGAGTCTAGTCTAGTTGTGGGGACCTTGTCTCAGTCCTCAGAGCCCTGGTGGTGCAGTGGTTAAGAGCTCGGCTGTTAATCAAAAGGTCAGCAGTTCAAATCCACCACGTGCTCCTTGGAAACCCTATGGAGCAGTTCTACTCTGCCCTATAGGGTCACTATGAGTCGGAATCGACATGATGGCAACAGATTTGGGGATTTTTTTTTTTTTCCTCAGTCTTCAGGGGCTAAGGCACTTTGTTGTCTGTACCACAGCTGGTTCCAGGTGTCCACAAAATATGAGAGGCCACCCGTCTCTGCTGCTGCTATACCTGGGTCTGACCACCTGCTTGGACACTTCACCCAGTGGGGAGCAAGACCAAGGTGAGTATTTGGGGGAAGAGCCAGGTGTCCAGGAGCTGACCACTGCTTCCTCCTGACCCAGGAACACTTGCCCCCAGCCTCCTTTTCTCCCAGCCAGGAGTCTGACCCCCCTGGTCCCCTCCTCCCTCAAACCCAGGAGTCCTGGCCTGTGGCCTCCTCCTCCCCTAGGATCCTATAGCTCCCCATCCCCTCCTGACAGGTTCCTCCATGTCCCCTGTCTTAAGGACCCTCCATCTCTCTGTCCTTCCTATCCTTTGGGCCCAGAAGTCTTCCTGGACTCCCCAAAGGCCCAGAACTTCCTGAGCAGCCAAAGCCGTATTCCACGCGCCAACCACTGGGACCTGGAGCTGCTGACGCCTGGGAACCTGGAACGGGAGTGCCTTGAGGAGAGGTGTTCCTGGGAGGAGGCACGGGAGTTCTTCGAGGACGATACCCAGACTGTGAGAGCCTAGAGACCTCCGGGATCCTGGGGTCTGAAATGCTCTGTCTTCCCCAGAAGACAAAAGTCTTGTCCTTCAACTCTCGCCTCCCTGGGGTCTCAGAAATTTGGGTGGCCTGGTGTGGGCTGTGTGCAGCTCCAGTTGACATGCTTTCCCCCTTCTCCTCCGCTCCTACCCCTTCCAGAAGCACTTTTGGGAGACCTACATCTACAATGGCAAAGGAGGTGAGTGGGGGCTGAAGCCCTCTTATTCTGCGCGGCTAAGGCAGCCCCTTCCCATGGAGGCCGAACCAACATCTCCACCACAAGTGAGCCCCAGAATTGTCTGTTCCCCCAAGCTCATGCTCCCTGAGTTCCTGAAGGTGGTTGTTAAAGGTGTCCCCTCCCTGCTTGAGGATCCCACCACACCTTATTTGGAGGTGTCCCCAGCAAGGGGGAAGTACAGGCGGGTGGAGGGAGGGGTGACAGCCATGGAGCCTAGCTAGCCTCAGGCTGAGACATGCTGGCCTTCCTGGGCTGTTCTTTGGAGTCCAGAGCCCCAGGCCCTTAGGCAGCTTGGTTACTTGGGGGGCTCCCTAGCAACAGGGACTGGCCAGGCCGTCTGAGGAAGCCTGGCCATCCTTACCTGAGCAGTCCACCCACCGTCCCACGCCCCACGCCCCACTCAGTTCTGAGGCCCCATCATGGCCGCTGCCTTGTTGCTAAGGGGGGCTGTTCCCTAGCAACAGGGTCTGGCCAGGCCAGTCTGAGGAAGCTTACGCCAGTACCTGGCTGACTTCCCCTCCCCCACAACCCCATCCCAGCCTCAGCCTGGTTGCTAAGGAGGCCTTCTCCCTAGCAACCATGCCTAGCCAAGCCAGAGGACCCAAGGCCTCCTGCCCACTAGAAGACCCCCCTCTGGGCATCAGACACCCCACCCCCTTGTGGCCTGGTTGCTAGGGGTGGATGCACCTTAGCAACAGGCCCTACTTCTGGGCTGCAGTCCTCACATTGGAGCCTGGTTGCTAGGGGCGGTACCTTCTCAGCTACAGGCCTAGGGAGGCCTGGTGGCACCTTGCATCTACCTGACACACGTCAGAATTGGAAGGATCTGCCTTCTCGGGGACATTTTTACTAAGGTGGGGCTTAGCAAAGCCTGGGGTCTACTCCTTCAGGAAAGAAAGAACATCTACTCAGGGCTGAAAGAAGTCTCCCCAACCTAGCAAGGCCTCACAAACCCTGAGTCCTCCCTGTGTGCCCTTTTCCTTAGAAATGAGGCCTTGGATTGCTAAGGGGCCTGCACCTTAGAAACAGGGCCATGTGAGCTTCCTGTAGAGCAATCTGTTCTTTCGGGGGGTTCCTAAGTTCTTCCAAGGAGCCCTGAGGGTGCAATGGTTAAGTGCTCGGCTACTAACGGAAAGGTTGACGATTCAAATCCACCTAGCAGCTCTGCAGGAGAAAACATGTGGCGATCTGCTCCTGTAAAGATTATAACAGAGAAACAGACCCATTGCTATCAAGTTGATTTCAATTCAGCAGCCCTATAGAAGAGAGTAGAACTGCCTCATAGCGTTTCCATGTCTTTCTCCCGCAGAGCAGCTGGTGGATTCAAACCATTGACCTTTTGGTTAGCAGTGGAGTGCTTAACCACTGTGCTACCATGTCTCCTCATCTATAAAGATTATAGCCTAGGAAACCCAATGGAGCAGTTCTACTCTGTCACATGGGGTTGCTATGAGTCAAAAATTGACTCGATGGCACCTAACAACAATAACAACTAAGTTCTTCCATTGATAAATGAACCTTTCCTAGCCATCTGGTAAATTCAGAAGCCTTCCTCTAGATTCTACCCTTTCTTGAGAGTTGAAGCCTTGCCCCTCAGCAGCCTGGTTGGCAAAAGGGGATGCATCCCAGCATTGGCAGGGTGGCCAGATAAAATACAGGACACTGTTGAGTTTGAATTTCATATAAACAATAAATAATTTTTTTAGTATAAGCATATCCCAAATTATTGCATGGGATGTACTTATACTAAAAATTATTCATTGTTTGTCTGAAATTCACATTTAACTGAATATGGCAACCCTAAGTGTGGTGGCCTCTTAAAGCTTGAGCTACCTGAATTCCCCCACCCTATCTTCAGTGTAGAAATTCTGCCAGCTTAACAGGTGAATTGCTTATGAGGCTGTGGCCGCTGACTCCTGGGGTCTTGAAACACCCCCTGTCCAGGGTCTCTGTTGTCTTGGGGCTACAGTTACTATGTTTTCTAGTCCCCAGATGAAGCTGTCATAGTTCTTTATGTATTGATCTCATTGAATTGTCACAATCTTTGAGGTAGGTATTGTCATTCCCATTTTACAGAGCAGAAACCTGAGGCTCAGAGGAGTGAGTGAGGTGAGTTGCCTGAGGTCACATGGTTAGGAACTGCCCCCAGCTCTCGCTGGCTTCAGAGCCCATACTGAGGACATGGGGCAAGAATATTTCATGTCAGGCTGGGTGGGAGCCCCTAAGGCAGTGGCTTTCCTCCCACAGGGCACGGACGAGCGGACATAGCAGGCTTGGCAGTGGGGCTGACGTCTGGCGTCCTGCTCATCGTCCTGGCTGGCCTGGGAGCCTTTTGGTGTCTACACTACCGACGGGGCCGAGGCCAGCATTCCTGTCCCCAAGAGTAAGGGGCTTCAGGGAGGATGGGGTGGGGGTGAAGAGCAGGGTGAGCTGTGGAGGGAGGAAGAGTTTACATGAATAATGGGCTAAAGATTGTTGGGGGTGGTGGGCACTGATGAAAGATTTGAGGGGACAGACAAGTGGACAGTGAGTCTGAGCTTGCTTGTGTCCACTTGTGGTATCTGTGGAGTGTCTTTTTGTCACTGTAGTTGTGTTGAGTAGGCTGTGTCTTTCTGTCTGTCTATAGCAGATATACAACAAATTTTTTTTAGTATCAGTATAGCCCAGATATTGTATGGGATATACTTATACTATATCCTCAGTATCATGTACACAGTAGGAGCTTATTAAACGTTTGCTGCTTGCATGTCTTTGTGGTGCCAAGTTTGTGTGTGATTATCACTCACAAGAAGCCACGGTGGCACAATGGTTAAGTGCTTAGCTGCTAACTGAAAGGTCAATGGTTCAAACCCACCAGTGGCTCTGTGGGAGAAAAGACCTGGCAATCGGCTTCCATAAAGATCAAAACCTTGGGAACCCTATGGGGCAGTTCTCCTCTGCCCTATAGGGTTGCTATCAGTCAGAATTGACTCAGTTTCACACAACATACAGTACATCTATTGCTTAAGGTCCCTAGGTGATTGTGCAAATGATTTGTGCTCAACTAGTAAGCAAAAGGTTGGCGGTTTGAACCCATGCTGCTGCACCATGAAAGAAAGGCCTGGCAATCTGCTTCCATAAAGATCACAACCAAGAAAACTCTATGGAGCAATGCTACTCTGTAACGCATGGAGATGCCATGAGTTGGAATTGACTTGATGGCAGGGTTTTTTTAATTTTCGTTTTCTTGAGTTTTTTTTTTTTTGGTATCTATCACTCTGGATGTATACTTGATGATGCTGTTACTGGGTAGCCTGTGGTATGTGTTGTATGTATGTCTGTGGCATGTAACGAATCCTTGGGTGGTGAAAATGGTGAAGTGCTCAACTACTAACTGCTCAACCTAACTGGTAATTTGAATTTGGTAATTCAAACCCACCCAGAGGTGCCTTGGAACAAAGACCTGGCAATCTGCTGCCAAAAGGTCACAGCCATGACAACCCTATGGATCAATTCTACCGCGCACACGTGGGGTCACTGTGAGTTGGAATTGACTCCATGGCAACTGGTTTTTGTTATTTTGTGACATGTAGGTTTACATGGTAACAGTGCGTGTGTGTATAGAGTGTCTTGGTGTGTCTCTCTCAATGGGAAGGTCTCCAAGAGTGTATGAATGTCAGTCTCAGAAGTATAGTGGGTCTGGGGGTTTTGAGGAAGAGTTTATATAGTAAGAGTGGAGATCTGGGAAATATGTGACATGAAAGTATTTCTGAGTTGTGTTGCCATCTCTGCGTGTCAGCCGATTTCTCTCTGTTAGTCTCTCTTTTTCTGCATCACTCTGCTGGGACTTGGCGCGTGTTTGTGTGTTAGAGTCCGCCTGTCCGTGTACATCTATCTGCCTGTCCTTTTGGGGAGCTTTTCTGTGTGCAAGGCTGGATTGAAGGTGACCCTCCTTTTCTCTGGTCTCTTCTGCCTCTGGCCCTCTGCCACCTTCAAAGTCTGTCTCCTTCGATCCTCTTCCCTTCTCCCAAGTCTCTATCCAGGGACTTCTCCCACTAACAGTGCATCTTCTCTGTCCCCAGGGCCGTGATTATCAGCCCCCTGAATCCTCCGAGCTCTCTAGGCCCGCCAACACCCTTGCCCCCACCACCACCCCCAGGCCTCCCCACCTATGAGCAGGCTCTGGAGGCTTCTGGGGTGCACGACGCACCTCCACCCCCTTACACCAGGTACGGGGCGGGGCTTCTGCTCGGGGGGCGGGGCGCAGAGGGGAGGGTTGTGTGGGAGGCCGGGCGTGGGCTTGGGGCGGGACTTGGAATATTGGGTTTATTGTCTTGGGCGTGGTTTGGAGCCCTGGGGCGGGGCCGATGTAATGGACTAGGGGCGTGGCCTAACATACGTGTGGCGCATTATGGGAGGGTGGGGCTTGTGCCCAGAGGGTCCCAGGATTGGTTGAGATGCCCAGGGCGGGTCGTAGTGGTCTTGGTTGGGGTAGGGGGAAAACCGCCGGGTCTTTGACTCTCCCCTGTGCCCCTCCTCTCGCAGCCTCAGGAGGCCTCCTCACTGAAGAGCAGTTTCGGAGCCCGGGTTCTCCAAGCTGCCCCCTGATTAACACTGGACTCCGGAAGCGCCCCCAGTCGTGACTCTAGAGCTGAACTGGTGGGCTTGGGAGTAGAGGTTGTCCGGCCCGAGGCCTACCCTGGCACACGAGTTTCCGCCACGAATGGACACAACGCATGTCCTGAGCCAGGATGTTCACGCGTCTCGGCCCCTCCCGGGCACCCACCAGCCCTGCTCTTAGGGCAGGCACTCGCGAGTGGGAACTCAGACCCGGGCGCACGTACTGGTTCTGCGGACGTGTGTGTGGACAGATGTGACCCGGCCGTCGGCCTCTAGTGCCACGGGCCACGCACATGCAGAACCCCATGTATGCACACGCGTGCCTTCGTGTGTTCCCCGCGCAAGCACAGGGGCAATTTGCGACCCAGGGAAAGAAAGGGTGGGGGCATATTTACAAGTGTGGTCGTTGGGGGCAGGCTCGCATCGCATCTGGGGGGACTGGATTTGCGCTGTTTCCCTAAATGAAAACCATTTGGAAAGAAGACCTCCAAAAAGCTGAAACAAGGCAAAAAAATAAAAATCGGAAGAACTGAACCGCGTTCCCGGGCGCTTTTGCTCGCGGCGGAGCTGGCTTTCCGTGCAAATGCTGCGCCCTACACCCCCAGGCCCTGCTTGAGCTCCGTCTCTCTTTTTTTTTGCATTTGCACGGGATTGTGGGAGGAAGCGGAGCGCAGCCAGACACCCCGCCGCCCGCCCCCCCCTTCCCCTCCCCCCTCCCCCAGCCGCCTTGTGCAAAGATGGCTGCACCGTGAGCGCAGAGGAGGAGGAGGCGGCGGCGGCGGCGGCGAGAGAGCGAGCACCCAGCGCCTGCATCCACCCCGGGGCCGCCCGGGACGCCCCCTCCCGAGCGTGCGCCCCCCCTTCTCTCTTGCAAGCGCCCGGGCAAAGGCGGAGACAGCGGGGTCCCTCCTCCCCCCATTTCCCTCCTCCAGGGGGAACCCCCCTTCCCCCCCTCCTTGGCTCAGCGGCTGCACCCCCTCCCTCACCCGCCCCTCCACCCCTGTCCCCTCCCTCCCCAGCCCGGGGCCTTCCCGGGCCTTCGGTGGCTGCAAAGAAAAAGAGAGAGAGAGAGAAGAAAAAAAAGCAGCAGCGGAGGGAGCGGCGGCGGAGGAGAGCGCGCGCGCGCCCCCTCCCTCCCTCCCTCCCCCTCTCCCTCCCCCTCCCCCCAATTTCCACCGCGGCCAATTCATGGACAGGAACTACCCCAGCGCCGGCTTCGGGGACCCGCTCGGCGCCGGGGCGGGATGGAGTTACGAGAGGTCAGCGAAAGCTAGGTAAGGAGTCGGGGTTGGCCTGAAGGAAGGGGCCAAGGGGTGGGGGCCCAGCCGGGCCGGGCCCGCCCGGCGACGCGTGCATCGCAAACTCCCCTCCGGCTTGCAAGGGAGCGGCCTTCCCCGGTTTGCAACAACGCCGCCCCTCCAGTTTGCAAATTGCAAACTCCGCCGGGGCCACCTCGGGCATGCAAAGGGGGAAATGCAGCGGGAAAAGGGGGGTGCAAAACAATTTGGGCTTGGGAAGGCCTTGGGAAGGTGGGAGGGACTGGCAAAGAGAGGCCTGGACTTCCTCCCATCCTTGAATTCCGGACTTGCTATCCCCTCCCCCTCTGCACCCCAGTTCCTGCTGTTGCAAAGGTGGGAAGGAGAGGAGAATTAGAACGCAGACCTGGGGGGCGCGGGCCCCCCTCCTGGATGCTATTGTTCCGTGACTGCTCGAGGCCTCGCCACTCACCCCCCCAAAAAAAATTCCGCGCGCAGAGTGGGCACGGGGCCCCGCCCCCTTTTTAAGCTGGGGTTCTGTGTCTGCGTGAGGGGGTGTCCGGCATCTGGGACACGCCCCCTTTAGCTCCCCCACCCCAAGGGCAAGGAGTGTAGTGTTTGACCTCCTGAGTCTCGCCCACGGTTGGGGCCGTTGCTGGGGAAGAGTAGGGTGTTTCCTGGGTGTGTGTTTGTGTGTATGTATGAGCGTGGGTCTGCTGCGTGCGTGGCTGGTGGCCTGTTCACATGCGAATCTACACCTTTCCCGTTGTTTATTTGTGTCGCGCCCCCAAGCTTCACCTGCCCCTGCCCCCTCCCCCACACACCTGGGGTTCCCAGCATGGCTGTGCATGACCCCACGTGTGTCATGGTTTTCCTTGTGGGGCTCCTGGCTCGGTATCTTTCCTTCACGGGTGAGTTGGATACACGTTTGCACACGTGCCTGGCTTTGCCTGGGTCCGTACATTTGAACCTGAACCCCAGGGGGGATGGACGGTGTTCATGTTTGCACATGTACCTGCTACTTTCCCCTGGTCCTTTCCTCTCCCCACCTCCCACCCCTGTCGGTTTAGGGGACAGTCGGCCCCTGCTTACGACTCAGTTTGCGCCATCCCATGAGGTTCAAGGCCTAGGTTTCCCCACGTGTCTTTAAAAAGGGGCATCCATGTACACCTCAGGGGTTGGCCCCAGGTCCTGGGGAGACGGGAGGCGGGAGGCACAGAGATCAGTACGAGGTTCACGCCTTTCTTACTTTAAACTCAAGGTACTTCCTCTGAGTCTTATCCCCTCTTGCGTGTGTTTATTCCGTTCCTGTGCATGTCTGTGTTTGTAAACGTTAAACTATGGGGCTATACCTACTAGAGCTCAGGAGTGGTGGCCATTTCTGTGACCTTTTTTTAGTTGAGGACCCTAATTCCCTTGTCTTTTCCCTTAAAGGCCCAAGGTTCCCTGGGATAACCCCCAGTGAGCTGGAAGGTTCCTCCCCATCCCCCCGGGGGATTTCCTGAGCTCCCTTCTCCGAGGGCTTGGAAGGACACCCTGACATCTCTCTTCTTCCCCCCAGCTTGGTCTATGGCAGCTCCAGGACCTCGCACCCCGAGACGGACATCTTACACCGCCAGGCCTACGCGGCCCCCCACCCACTGCAAAGCTATGCCACCAACCACCACCCTGCAGGTATGGCCCCTGGTCCGCCCCGCGCGGTCTGGCCCGCCCGCCGAGGCAGCTGGTTGGCTGCTGAAAGTTCCACCCTTCCTGATTGGTTATGTCCTGTGTTCTGGCCCGCCCCTTGCTGTTTCTCCTTTGATTGGTTGCCTCTGAGGCTGGTTAATTTCAGGCTGGATTCGTCCGCCTCTTCCTCTGGCCCCGCCTCTCTTGCTCCAATTGGCGGTGTCCCATCACCCCCCCAAATCCCACCTTTCCTTCCAGGCGCTTCTGCCTCAGTTCAGCCCACCCCGGTCCCTTCTCTCTGGGTTTTCCTGTTTTTTGATTTCTTGGTTTTCTGAATTCTTTCTTTCTGATTGGTTCTATTTCCTGCTTTTTTTTTTTTTGATAGGTTTGTACCTGTATTGTTCTGGTCTTAGTTCTTTTGATGCTTTTAATTGGTCGTGTTCCTCTTTCTTTTTACGTGTACCAGCAGTGGGATTATGCTGTTAAATTTGATCCTTGGTTGTCACTATTTTTTCTTCATTTTTTTGTTTGGATTCTCCCACCTTGACTCAATCTTTTACAAGTTCTTGTTATTGTTCTCAAATGTTAGATTCTTCTTTTTCTTTGCTGAAATTGCCCAAACTTTTTGGTTTCTTCCCTGATCTTTCTGATGACAGTATCTTTTTGCGCCTGCCTCTTTTACTTCTGGATTTCTCACTTTTGACTACTTTTTCCCACCTGCCTGCCCTTCCAATTGGTTTTCACCCCATTTTGCTTTATGCTTTCACCTTTCCACGTCTTCCCTCATTGGCCTAATTTCCAAAACAGTTTGTATTCTTCGAATCTTTTCCCTTTTTCTTTCCCTTGAACCCTTTTCCCCCCAACACAACCTGAATTTGACCTTTTTCCTTTCTCCTGGACCCTGCCCAACCACCCACCTGACTGACTGCCCCCTGTGTCCTTGGCTAGGCCTCTCTGGACTCTTCGACACTGGCCTTCACCACGCAGGCTCAGCTGGGCCCGACGCCTCCGTCATGAACCTCATCTCGGCCTTGGAGTCCCGGGGCCCCCAGCCTGGCCCGTCCGCCTCTTCTCTCCTCTCCCAGTTCCGCAGTCCTTCCTGGCAAACAGGTAAGCCTGGCACCAGCACAGGAGGGCCAGGGTGGGATTAGCCTGTGGTCCACTCTGACCTATGGTCTCCTCCCTAGCCATGCACACGCCAGGCCCCACGGAGCTCTTCATCTCGGGCGCCTTGCCGGGTTCCAGCACCTTTCCATCCTCCTCCGCCCTGTCGGCCTACCAGCACCCTGCTTCCTTTGGCAGCCGCCCCTTTCCAGTGCCCTCGTCCCTCAGTCTCCAGGACCCCCCATTTAGTCCCCCCGCTAATGGGCTTCTGTCCCCTCATGATGTGCTGCACCTGAAGCCCTCACAGGCACCCACAGTGCCCTCCTCACTGGGCTTTGAGCGCCTGGCCGGGGGCGGTGTCCTGGGGCCCGCTGGTCTCGGCCCTGCCCAGACCCCCCCTTACCGCCCTGGTCCACCAGACCCACCCCCACCTCCCCGCCACCTCCCAACTCAGTTCAACCTGCTGGCTTCCTCTTCTACTGCTGCTGCCGAGCAGTCCTCCCCGCAGCTCTATAACTTCTCGGGTGCTGCCCCAGGCCCACCGCCGCCCGAGCGGGCCCTACCCCGCCAGGACACTGTCATCAAGCACTACCAGCGGCCAGCCAGTGCCCAACCCCCACCGCCCCCACCACCAGCCCACGCCCTCCAGCATTACCTGAGCTGCGGAGGCAGCTACCCTTCCATGGGCCACCGGGCCAACTTAGCTTGCAGCCCCCTGGGTGGTGGGGAGCCCTCCCCAGGTGCTGGCGAGCCGAGCAAGGCCGGACCCAGTGGAGCCACGGCCGGAGCGTCAGGCCGGACCACGGGCCCTGAGGCAGCTGGGGGAGGTGGAGCAGGTGGTGGCGGTGGGGGTTACCGCCCCATCATCCAATCACCGGGTTACAAGACGGGCAAAGGTGGTTATGGGACAACCACGGGG